TCGTACTGCACGAGGAGGAGGCGAAGTCGATCGCCTAAATCAAGCCTATGGAGTGAAAAAATCAAGGAAGCGCAGTGTAGCTTGGAGGAGATGAAAAATGTCGACGTTTTGCAGGTTGACGCACTTGAAGAAGCGCCCTGAGACACCAGCAGAGATGAAAACTAGAAGGTCAGGCCAAGAAACGACACAGTAGTTATCTATCTATCGTCTCTTGGTCGATTTTTTAGTACAGGTGCTCCTTTGGACATAGGCTTGAGTTTTGAAGCGAAGCGCACATTTTAATAAGTCGTACCAAGTAGACATCACGAGGTCAAGGGTATTGTCGCCACGAGTAGGAGTCTGAACATGCTGCGTAAGAAGGTGCGCGGCACAAGTGTCCTCAAGTGCTTCGCCCGCCGGTGTGGTCTTAGAGCTGTTTAGCCAGGCACGGTTGTGAACGTTAAAGTCCCCAGCAAGAATGAGACTAGCGCCGTGTTGACGGGCTAAAGGAAGGGTGTCGTCGAGATAATGGATAAGTGAGAGGTCACTGGGCCCGCAAGAACCCGGCCGGTAGACACCTCCCAGGACAATCTTGTGCCCGGCGCTGAGCTGGATGGATACCCACAAGACTTCATGCTGGGGGGCGGCCAGTTCATCGATGATCAAGGCTGGGAGAGTAGATCGCACCCAGATTGCAACTCCACCACCGTGTGCTGTGCGGTCAAGCCTGAATGGAGGGCTATAGCCCGGGAATATCGTGTCCGACACTTGGACCTTCTCTGTTGTGAACTTTGTTTCGGTTACCACTGCGACGTCAGGGTTGTGCTGTAGCAACGCGTGCTGGAAGTCGCCTAACTTGCTACTTAACCCGAACGCATTTGTGCACAAGAGGCGAAATGGAGCAACCATGGAAGAAACAACAAGACAAAAACGAAAAGCTAAAAAATACCAAAATGTAAACCTAGAGCTAAAGTTCTTAAAAACAAAAAAGTCCTGAACGTGTTTCTAAGATTTAAAAACGCCAACTGTTCTGCTTGCTGCCAGCTGGACCCTTTCTCTTTTTCTTTCTTCCACAGACTTCGGTGAATTCGGTTTCAGCTGAGGGGGAGGTCGAGCTTCGCTGCCGTTTGCTGTTGGTGCCTGCTTTGCTGTTGCTCTTAGCGCAGTCAGCCAGTAGGGCCATTGCTCTGTCTTCGTCACTAGCAGGATCCGAGTGGGCCAGAGACGTGGTGGGGTCAGGCTGCTGTGGGGAGGGGGCGGGGGTGCCTCCATCTGACTCCTCAGCCCAGCTGCTGTCGGGGGACAGCACTAGAGTGAAGTCGGGCTCACCTTCAGTGCCTCCCACTGAGGCAGATTCGGGTTCCCTGGATGCATCCCTTTCGGCATCCGATCCTCCTGCAGCAGATGAGTCCGAGTACGGTGTGTCTGACCCCACGCCACTAGCACTGGCAAGCTGGCGGTTGGCTGTCGTACCCGAGGGAGGCTGCTGATCCAATGAGCTTGGATTTCCCGCCTCTCGTCCTGCTACTCTTTCTGCATCCGACCCTCCTACAGCAGATGAGTCCTGTTTGTCTGACCCCACGCCACTGGCCAGTTGGCGGTTGGCTGGTGGACCCCGACCCCATGGATTTGTCGTACTCCGTGGGTGGATGGGGCGATTTGGACAGGCCTTTGCCTCATGTCCGCCTTGCTGACATCGAAAACATGTTTGCGTTTGACCTGGGTACCAAACCCGTACCGTAGTACTACCGGAACCTATACGCACAGTAGACGGCATGCTCTTCTTCAAACTCATCCTTGCATGGCGGGTTCCCGTTTCGATTGAAAAATCACCATGCTCCACGATCTTTCTTGTTATTGGGCCATGAATATCTCCAAAGGCCCCCAAAGAACTTGCAACTGCTCCATCATGTAAATGCAATGGGCATCCAAATATCGATACTGTGATTACTTCACTGCCGCCCACAGTAACAGGTACAGCCTTACCGCTTATTGACAAGCCGGAGGATACAAGCCGGTCGCGTGCGGCTCCACAGGACAGTGCTACGAGGCACCAGCCAGGCTTCCCTTGTAAATCCACCTGCTTCAGCTCAGCAGGGCTAACTCCATTTTTGGACAGTTCCTCTATATAGAAAACGTGATCTGACGGCCAGTCAAGCTCCCTTCTAAACAGTATGGAAGTGGACGCAGGAGCGCCAAAACTGCTCCCACCCGCCATGTGAAAGTTGCATTTTTTTGCCGGTGAAACTCTGTAAATACATGGAGGGGAGTCAACCTTGCTTACCAGGCTCCTCATACGGCTCATTCAGCCTCTCACACTCAGACGGCTCACTCAGCCTCTCAATACGGCTGTTGTGTATCGGTAGAAAGACTTTTCATGGCTCTTTTTGTTGTGGTCCTTTCGTTTATTTTGGTTTGTTTTGCGTTCTGCTTTGACTTGTTTGGTTGCATGTATAGTTTGTACATGATCCAAGTAACGGTTACGTCATTGTCATACGTTGTGTTTTGTTGCGCGCATGATCGTATGCTGCCATAAATGTTAGTCTTTTTCTTCAGTTATCAGTTTACCTCGTCGTGTCCGGTCTTCTTGTCTGTCCGTCTCCGTCTTGTCAAGAAATTATGTAGAACTCTCAGTTCAGTTTCGTTGTTGTGTGTGGCGGGTCGGATGGGCAGGGAGGCTGGGCCCCTGACGCCTGGACAACATGTGCGCGTGCACAAAATTTGGCGATCACGCCAGGATTGTCAGGGAGACGAGGAACTGGAAGGAACTCCGGTGCGAAGGAAAACGCATCGTGAACAAATCACCGAAACGACGTCGTCTGAGCTGAAGGCGCTGAGCGAGGAAACGTCTGCGAGGAGTGGCTGGCTCGTCGGAGCTGAATGCGCTGAGGGCAGATGAAATGGATGAACATCTGCGAGGTGTGGCTGGTCCGTCAGAGTTGAATGCGCTGAGGGCAGGGACGTCCCGCGAGGTGGCTGGTGAAGACGACGACTCGGAGGTTGGTGCGACGGAAGTCGTTGGAGCTGAATGCGCTGAGGGTAGACGAAGTCGGATAAACGTCTGCGATGAGTGGCTGGTTCCTACGACAAGGACGGTGCGAAGGAAAACGCATCGTGAGCAAATAACCCCATGTGAGTGTGACGCGGAGTTTAGAAGGTGCTCCTGCTGTGATTTGTTGACTAGTTTGATTCGATTTGTTTTGAGTGGTTTGGTTTGCTCGATTTGTTTGTTAGTTCGAGTTTGGTAGTTCGGTTTGCTCGATTTGTTTGAGTTTGATTTGTTTGTCCCTGGTCGGACGTTGCCTTTCGTTGGAGTTTTGTTGGCGTGTCGATCGTTTATTTGTTTATTTGTTGCCTCTTGTAGTTAGCTTGATTAGTACGCTTGCGGCGTATACTCGTAGGGCACAGTGTTCGCAGTCCTCGTAGAACCCTGAAAAGGTCTTTGGTGGGGAATATGTTGTGTATCGGTAGAAAGACTTTTCATGGCTCTTTTTGTTGTGGTCCTTTCGTTTATTTTGGTTTGTTTTGCGTTCTGCTTTGACTTGTTTTGGTTGCATGTATAGTTTGTACATGATCCAAGTAACGGTTACGTCATTGTCATACGTTGTGTTTTGTTGCGCGCATGATCGTATGCTGCCATAAATGTTAGTCTTTTTCTTCAGTTATCAGTTTACCTCGTCGTGTCCGGTCTTCTTGTCTGTCCGTCTCCGTCTTGTCAAGAAATTATGTAGAACTCTCAGTTCAGTTTCGTTGTTGTGTGTGGCGGGTCGGATGGGCAGGGAGGCTGGGCCCCTGACGCCTGGACAACATGTGCGCGTGCACAAAAACGGCTCACTCAGCCTCCATACAGCTCACTCAGCCTCCGCAGCAGGGCCCTGCTCAGCTGCCATACACACACATTCACACAGCTCTAAGCTATCACTCACTCGGAGCTTGGCAAAGCAATTGACAAGCCTTCCTATTCCCCAAACTGGTTGCTCGTTGTGTGAGTGCGGCATGCAGATGCTGGTGTTAACCCGCATTCACGCCCAAATTAACCCCAAAAAAAGTTTGTGCAGCTTGTACTACAATGGTAAAATTAATAATGGTGGGAAATATGGTAGATGTTTTTCGTGACAAAAAAATCTGAGTGCGGCTTATACTCCAGTGCGATTTATTCTCCGGAAAATGCGGTATTCAGTGTGTCATTACCACGTTTATGCATTTCCTGGCTTGCCCGTGGCGACATTCAAAACGATTAGGTGTTGTCTGCACATTGTTATTATTCCAGTGACTCCATATTGTCAATCGCGAACATCTTCAGATTTGCCCACTGTTTCGGTGAGATCCCCAGGCCCGTGGCACAACCCTCTTAACTGGTCTTAAGTTAACAGACACAAGCTCAGAACTTTTCTTTTTGATAAGAAGGTGTTCTTTATTGATCTTCCCCTGTTCTTGGGAGTTGCGTGATTGTAAGAAAGGTGTACAAAGTAAGTCGTACATGTAAGGAAAAGCGTAGTATTGTCCTCTTTACGAAGGTGACATAGTGGGCGCCCAAACGGGTAAAGAACAAATGAAAAGGATGCTGCGAATTAGTGCAGTCATGCGGCAACACTCACTGTAAATCCAATTTTTTCTGTTGTCTCCGCATACAGTATCCTCTCTATGATAAGCACAGGTCTCCATTACTAGCACAGTCTCTAATACTAGCACACTGTGAGCAGCTTTCGAATAATTATAAGCACAGTCTCTATTATTAGCACGGTCTTGGTGGAAATCAATGCTGTATGCATGATATCTGGCATGTATTTCTTCTTGCTCTGCATGGATGTATTTGTTGAAAAAATATAAGCACAGTCTCCAATACAAGCACGGGGTAGAGGGGTGTTGAAAAAACATAAGCACAGCGCTTGTAATAGAGAATATACGGGCTACATTTGCAGTGACTTCTTATTGTAAAAATTAATGTTAACCAACAACATTTCAGGTCTGCCCACTGTAACATTCAAAACTCTTTGCTGTTGCCTCCGCGTCTATTCTAGTGACTCCTTATTGCCAACCACCAACTCTTTCAAACGGCCAGGTGAATGTAAGGAACGGGATGGCCCGGTTTACGTGCAATAGTGGCTACAAACTGGTCGGAGTATCCGTCTCCTTCTGCGTCTACACCGTCACTCATACGTGGCTATTCGACAGAAGTTGCTTTTGTGAGTTTGAGCTGTTAGCATCACACTAAGCCACACATAATAATCAGGGGTGTCACCGAACAGTGGCGAGTGGTACGACCAGGGGTTCGAAGCGAAAGAATGGGTGTCGGGGGGGGGGGGGGGGGGGGGACGGTTGGTAAAGACATTTACCAGCATTTTGCCGGGTGGGTTTCAAAATTATGACTCAAGTGTCTCCTCATTTTTTCTCCTCATTTGCTTGCATCATACTGTTTGCTGGCTGGGGATTACATTATGATCAAATTCGCTTTCCTTTAAAAAAATTATAGGAAATGACCCAATTGTTACATGTTATCCCTAGTTTGTGTCGAACACGCTAACAGGTATAAGCAAAATGTTGTGATAGCTGTTAGTGTTGGACACAAACTACGGATAACATGCAACAATTTGGTCCTTTCTTTTAAATTTAGTCCTTGGCTCTCCATCTGAGTCCATTATATTTTATAAAATATCTTCAGAATTGAAATCAGCAGGTTACTAGCCCGATTGACATATCACGCATGCTTTATTGAATCAAAAACAGAAAGAAGACAAGCCATGATTCGTGATATCTTACTCCAGCTGGTGCTGCTGATTCCGATTCTGAAACTATTTTGTTGCGAATTTTCGGGCAAGTATGATTTATGCATGTTGTATTTGGTTCCTGTCACATAGAGTCAAGTGTCTGATGTCATAATTAATATTATGGTCTTTGTGTTCATGTGAGTATGGTGTGATGTGTGACATTTATGGTATGTGGTGCATGCAAGAGTACGCGTTGTCAGGGTGTGAGAATGTGCTTCCGTCTGTGAGAGTGACTGTCGAATGAATGCTGTACATGCGCAGTGCTAGTTTGGTCTGGGAATGAGAGTCATGTGTGATTGGTCCGTGGTCTGGTTGTCTTTGTCTTGTCATGTGTTCTGTATGTATTAGTCCCTGATTGGTCTTCCCGATTTGTCGTCGCTTCATTACTGCTTGTTTCTTTGTTGTTTCTTGGTGTTTTTTTCCCGTTGTCTTTTGTTTAGTCTTGCATTTCTTTCTTCCTCCTGCACCCTTGTCATTTGTTGATAGTATGAAGTCAGAAAGAGTATCAAGCTGTTTGCATTGTCGTGTGGCAGGGGCCAGGGGGAGAAAGCAATCACAAACCATTATTGGTTTCATTGGCACCCAACGTGAGGCTCGAACCCACGACCCTGAGATTTAAAAAAAAAATGTGGAGACAAACACAAAGCAAGACACAGGGGATGTCGGGACGACGTGCCGATGTACAGGGAGCAACTCGACCGCCACCTCTGGTCGGTCGAGTTGCTCCCGGTACATCGGCACGTCGTCCCGACATCCCCTGTGTCTTGTTTTTTGTTTGCCTTATGCTCTACCGACTGAGTCCCCTCGCCGACTTCTTCAGTATAAATTGTATTCTTGCCTCTACTAGTTAGAATCTCCTTATCCCCTTACCCCTTGCTTGAATCTATCCGGCTTGAGCGAACCCGTAGGTGAACCTTTTGAATCCACCGACTTGAACGCAGCAATACCTATAATAAATGATTATAATAATCTTATGGTGAAAAAGGAGAAGGACAACATGTTACTAGTTATGACTAACTGTCCACCAACGTAACCAGATCTTATACAGTCAGCGAGTGCGACAAAATGAGCCTTTCAAGTTGGAAGGTTGTTGGTTTGCGCTTTGGAGAAGTGGTGGAGCTAGGTGGCAGGTCGCCGAATGTCTCAGTACTTCTTGTCAGTTCTGTGCTATTTCGTCGCACTCGCTGACTGTATAAGATCTGGTTACGTTGGTGGACAGTTAGTCATAACTCGTAACATTTTTTCCTTCTCCTTTTTCGCCATAATTTAATTGGCTCACCATCCGAGTTCAATAATCATCTAAGAAAAAAGCTTATCCCGTCCGGTGCTAAGTGGATTCTTGTCTTCTTGTTTTAGATCAGCACACAACTGGGCAACATAACACCAATTTCACTTATCGCCTGCTCAGGCCACTAGCCAATGCTGATCAAGCCAAACAGGATTGCGAGGCAGTTGGGCTGAGGCTTCCGAGCCTCCAGTACGATTGGAGCATGGTCAGCAATTTACTCAATTCGTACAGTTTTGAACTTAGCGTTCTGGGTCTGCAGGCTGTCCGGTACACATTCGGGCTAGATAAGGACGACAATATTGTAAAGATCGACAAGGACCAACCAGACCGCCTATTGGCATTAGATAGTGCCACTAAAAAAGTATATGATCAAACAGCTACCTACTTCTGCACCCGTAAGTCGTCCTCGGCACTTTTTGAGATGTGAGCGTTGGGATATGAGATTTCCCATGAGAAATTTTAAGAGATGGGGTTTGAGATGTGAATCTTAGGTGTGAATTTGAGAAGGGTATTCGATATGTGTATTTTTGAGTTGTTAGTTTTTAGAAGATGGGTATTTGATGTGAATTCGGGGTGCGTATTTCGAGAGATTTCCATTTGAGTTTTATATTTTTGTGCTGAGAAGTTGTGATGTGTATTTGAGGTGCTAGAGTTTGAGATATGAACGTGTACATGGCCAGCAATCGAGGACATCTGAGAGTTGTAATTTTTGTACTCCTCCAAGGTGTGATTTTTGGCGTGCTAGGCCAAGCGCAAGGAAGCCATCTGCAAAAACTGCAGCAAATGGTTGCTGTTTGATCCTTTGGTGTAATCTTTGTTTCTAGTCGAAGCTAGTTGCTGTTTGGAGCAGAAACGCCTAAATTGACTATTTTCTGCATGTACTCATACATGTACTCATGTACTCAGTCATGCAGTCTCACTCGTATTTTAGCTCTTTTTCTGGAATGGATGCTGCTCTGCGCCCCTTGGTGAACATTTCCTGCGCTCGTGGAGCAGCTGAAAAGGACCACTGGTATGTCTGGTTCCTGGTTTGAAAGTGGAGAGTCGACTTTTGTGCCTGGAAAACGGAGTAGAGAGCGATAAAGGTACGTCTGTGGCTTATTTTTGAGTGCTCCTCGTACATTTTTGATCGTAATAGAAATTCTCAGACCAAAGTCAGACCAAAGTCAGCGCGATGATGGCCGCACAGTTTTCTTGTGGATTTTTTAGTTGTTTCATCTTGTATCTATGTCAGTATCGTGATGGTGAAGTGGAGAGGGTGATTTTCTTCCTCTAGGCTTCGTTCGGCCGACTTTGCTTCGTCCTCGTTGAAACGTGATCCTGAAAAAAAGGTCGATTCACAAAATTATGTTGATTTTCAATGTACGTGAGGAGATGCGATTGCTGGCTATGAATTTGAGATATGAACGTGTAATTTGAGATATGGGTGAAATTTGAGATAAGAATGTGTACTTTGAGCCTTATAGGAGTCGATGGCCGGCTGGCGGGGTTGTTTGGTATTATTATAAGGCCATCATTTTTTATATCTATGTTTTGCGTCAGTTCAACTTCCAGAATCATATGCAAGAGGTGGAAAAAAATAAAAGTTGCAAAATAATAAAAGGCTCATCAGAGGTGTATAGCACTGTAGATAGCACAATAGCTCGTGCATGGTGTACATTCGAAAGAAAAATCTTACATCGAAGCTCAACATCTGGGTTATCAGCATGAGTAAATAATCACTTTGGACAGAGAAGGCAACCGTTCGCTGGATTATTGGTATATGTACTCAGACTTCAGCGGCGGTGCAAAGAGCCCCAGAACGACGCATCCTCTCAGCTTGAGGCGACCGATGCTGTCTGGTGTAAGCTCATAGAATACTGCTCGCAGATGCCTAACAAATGATTTACCAACGCTGGCATCGAGGCCATTTCTGAATTCCAGCTTCGCCGTATGCAACCAGTCCACATTGAGTGATGACTTGCGCGATCGCACACTCACTGTGCATGTTCGATTTTTTCCGAAAAAAATCAAAAACGTATGCGTGCGGACGACGCGAAACATAGATATAAAAATGATGGCCTAACCCGCACAATAAATGGGAACTAGGCCCAATGATATCAAGGCGAATGGCCAAACAGCATTTAGAAATGAAAGGAAAATAATTTGTCGAGGCTGCGAGGTAATGCCCCAGTGTCTGGAGATATTTGGATTTTGTAGAAAAAAAATGCTAGTATACGCCCGTAAGTTGACACACATACAAAACTAGTGCGGGGTTGGTTGCAGAAATGCTTACAATTTCAGAAGCCTTCGTCCTAGGTAAAAAACTAACATGAATGAAACCGTTTCACTCACACATGCATAGGACTCAAGTCTGAGTTTTGTGCAAGCTGTTCTTAGCATTCACAAGGCTTCCTAAACACTCGACCTAAATTAAAGGTTCGCCCATTTTTAGAGTCAATGTCTGTAACGACCAAATATCACCAGACATCGCCAAATATCCGATTTCGCTCTAAGTTAGCCTCTTTCATCCCCGGGTGGACCAAATTCACCCACCATGACAGCTTGGTGCAGAAGCGCTGCGTTCCTTATGTATGGTCCGAAATATGAAAATCGACTAATATTCGCTCTGAAACACCTTCAAGCAAGGTACAAGAATGAGTGGCCACCGCTGCTCACCACAACACAGCGCAGCCAATCCAATTACAGTAGGTATCGGTTATAGCGTGGGTGTTTGAAAAACGACTTTCCATTCTTATTTCCGATATTTCTTACACACGATAAATCAAGTGTGACATCATGTGCATGTGCGCAGAGGCAGGAAGATCATCGTACATACAACGTGGTGCTACTGTGCATGCGGCTGGTCACAGTCACATAGGCTTACCATGTGGCTATGCAACATGAGTTACATGACCACAATAGTTGAACCTGCAGCGCTAGGACCCAACGCGAGTCAGATCAGAACTGCTTTGGACGGATGTTACAACTACAGGCGATATACTTTGTACTGATCTGGCATGTTTCGCTACACAAAGTCCATTCTTAGGACCGATATATTCTACTGTACGATAAAATTGCTTGTAAGAATAAATGTCCACATGAAATCCATGTTATGATTATGAAAACATGAGAGTTCATTCTTGTAGGCAGTATATTCTTTTACACGACCACGCTATAACCGATACGCACTGTATATCCGAACAACGATCCAAGTCACGTAGCAATGTTTAGCCATCCAGCTTTCGACTGGTGATGAGTCCCTCGAGCGAATCGATCAATTCAGCCTGTCCAATGGCGACCATTACGAAGGCCATTTTTCAAGGGCCAGTAGCAGCGAGGTTCCGTCCTGAAATTTGGGGTAGACCACCACCATAGTCTGCTGCAACATATCCCAAGCCCCAACAAGTGGTCTTGAATAAAGTTATCCACTGAAGACCACTTGGGGAAATATTCAAATTTCAGCCCTCCAACGGCCAAGCACTAGCCAAATCCAACAGCATGGAACGAAGGCACACACAAATCGCCTCCATATGCCTTTTCGCTATGCTACCAGCACCGAGACATCATGGGGAATAATCCCTGCCCTTACAGAAACTCGAATGAAACCGCCACAAAGGGTCACTTGCTGAACAACAGCCCAACATGACTGCAGTAACTGCCTTTTCTCCACCTGCTCCCAGTCCCGTGCCATCTCCACACTTGTTCAAACAACAAAAAATCAAAGGGACGACTATAACTACACTTAGAAGACTGTTTATTGACACGACGACGAAACACAACTAGACATGGCGAACTCAAGACGAAGACATGATGAACTCAAGACGAAGACTGCTTTTCAAACCACAGCAACACGCGCATGCACCAACATAACGTACACAGGACGTACACAAAATAACGTACTATATACAATATGGTAAGTCTATCGATATACGGTACATACGGTATGATACGGTAGAAAATCCGTCTACTACAATGACGAGAAGAAAAACAGCTCAACAACAACATATCAGCAAGGACTGCAACAGTAGTGCAAGATGGCCCAGAAAGTTCTTGTGTACTGGGCAGCTAGTGCACACGAGTTTCACATGCGTGCCACGCTCCCATCAAAAAATTCAAAATTTCTCTCAGGTTGCTATGATCTCACCTACTTCCGGTTCTTGCGCGGTTACATCATGCATTTTTTAGGTATCAAAGGACTACTGCTGTCCCCCAAAAGGGGATTTTCCCATGATGTCTTGGTGCTGGTAGTGTAGCTAAAAATCATAAGGCATCTGGAGGCACTCCGTGTGTGCTTTCCTGCCACGTGGTTGGATTTGGCTAGTGCAAGACAGTTGGAGAGTTCGAAATTTGAGTATTTCCCCAAGGGAATTTTCGTGGATAACTTTATTCAAGACCACTTGTTGGGGCTTGGGGATGTGTTGTAGCAGACTATTGTGGTGGTCTACCCCAAATTTCAGGATGTAAGCTCGCTGCCACTGGCCCTTGAAGATGGCCTTCGTAATGGCCGCCATTGGACACGTTGGTTTGGCTGCGCTGTGTTATTGTGAGCAGCATTGACCCCTAGTTCTTGTACCTTGCTTCAATGCGTTTTTTAGTCGATGTTTATATTTTGCCCAATATCGAAGGATCTCTGCACAAAACCATCATAGTGGGCGAATAAGTCCCACGCAGGGATAAAAGAAGACAACTTTGCGCGAAATCGGAAATTTGGCCATGTCCGGTGATATTTGGTCCTTACAACACCATTGACTCTTAAGTAGCATTAAACAATTAAGGTGGCTCAGACCACATGCGCGCGCATCGAAAAAAGTACCTACTGCCGGCACGCGAACGAAGCGTGCTAGTACTTTTGTAACCACGACTTGAAGCGTGCAAACGTAACATTTGTACTTTTTCCGCGTGCTCTCTTCAAACTTCAAATTTGTGGGCTTTGTGTTTTGATTCTCCTTGCTTGTACTTGTGGCGTTTGTAATGGCTGCCTTTCCTTTCTTCGCATAGTATAGCCAGTTCGTTTGACTTAGTTCTAGCACTGGGCTGCCAATAATGCTGCTGCTGCATAGTGTTCGAAGCTGGTGTTCCAAGGAGAGGGTTGTACGTCTTTTTCAGTCTTTCGTGAGAAATAACACGACAAAATAAGTCGAGCCTGTTGTGGAATCTGAGATTGGTGAGTCTTGAAGAACCAGAGCGTGACTCTGAGCAGAATGAGGCTAAAGGATGCAAGGGGGAAGTCGTGCTTATGTCCGAGGATGTCTGGTAGGACGAAGGTATGTGTCACACATTTTTTATTTGTTGATTTCCGCCTGGCATGGTCACCTCGACGTTCGTGATATATGCTCACCCACCACTGATCGTCGAGGTGTCTTTGTCAGCCACGTAAACTATTCCTTCTTGGACATCGACGATTGAATTCTCTGGGTGTGTTCGGATCGTAGAGTTGAGAGTACTAGATGAAAGGTTGTATCGTGTCATTGTCTTCATGTGTTCATTATCCATCTATGTTTTTGTTCGTCATTTTTTGTTGTCCGATCTGTCTTGTGTTGAAACCATTGCTGTATTGCAACAGTACATGTATTGCAAGATTGACTGTGTGAGGATGCCACCTTTGAAGATACAGTCTGGTTGTACATATTGGCTGTGTAAATTTTACATTAGTTTATATCTATTACTTGCCTATACCATAAAATCCACAAAACACAACCCAATTGTCACAGTGATTTCTATTTTTCACTCCATTATCACTGCGGTAAGTCCTAGTTTATACTATTGGACAATGAATCTCATTCTGTGAACTACCGTACTGGCAATATATGTTGCCGCAGTGAGGCCATGAAGCGTTACATTGGCACATGTTTGCCGCACACAGGGCGTTACATGCAAAGTCGCACAGGAGCCGTTACACAGGTTTCTATATTGCCGCAGTCCTTTTTTTGCTATTGCCGCATCACTTTTTTTGCTATTGCCGCATCATTTTTTTGCTTTTGCCGCATCATTTTTTCTTTTCATCCACATTGAAGGCACAGAAATTCAGTTGCTATCCAACTGTTACAAACCCGACGACAAAGGGCGACAACGATATCAATAGAAGACTGTATATTTTAACTATCAGAGTGATCTGTTCACAAAAAGATCATCAAAAGGAAAGTGACATAGGGGAAGAGCGAGTGTCAGGACTCAGGACTTCCTGCTGCATCCAGTTTTGAACTTTTCACCACGCGGTACACGTGCTTTCACAGTTTTCAGCCTTTTTTTTTGCAGTGCAAACTGCAATGAAAAGATCGCCACACCCCGCCGGACGCGCGTTACGAACTCAACGAAAATTTGTCGCACTAGCCTGGTCGCGCGTTACGCCGCACCCCCCTGCGTTACGCGTTACGCGGCAACATATATTGCCAGTACGGTATGTGTTCCCAGACTCATTCACTAAATACATGTTCCATTCTTGAACCATGGTGCAGAATACATACGTATTTGTATTATATCTGCAATTGCGAAATGCACCAAATTGTTGTAATATCCTAAGTAAAGTAAGAAAATACAATTATCAATGGTGGGTATGTGTCATAGTTGTAGCCTGCATAGATTAGACTAAAAAATCTGAGGAAGATACACTTCAACAGGAAACAGAACAGCTTTTTCTTATTGGAAATGGCAAAATTTCAAGCATCGACGCCTCTCCGAAAAACAACTCATACGACGCCAAACATATCGGTGACCCCCCCCCCCCAATATTTTTAGACAATCAACATAAGCACTACCCAAGGAACAAATTCCCAAGTTTATATAAGCTTTCTATTTTTTTTTTTAATTTTTGGAGTTTGGTGGTCTGAGCCTCCTTTTAAAAGAGACCATTGATTGTCGAGTGGTCAGGAAGCCTTTAGTGTATGTGGCTGCAATGGAGTTAATAAGTAGCATGCGAATACTTTTAACATGTTCTTTATAATTATTAAAAGTAGAAAGGAAAAGGACATATGGAAACGAGTTAAGAGTAACTCTCCACCACTGTAACTAGATACTATATACAGTCAGAAAGTGCAACAACTAGGCACAAAACTGACAGAGTACTGAGGCAGGGAGATGTGTTGAAGCTAGGTGTCAGGACGTCGAATGTCTCAGTACTCTGCCAGTTTTGTGCCTAGTTGTTGCACTTTCTGACTGTATATAGTATCTAGTTACAGTGGTGGAGAGTTACTCTTAACTCGTTTCCATATGTCCTTTTCCTTTCTACTTTTATAATTATTTTTCCTCAATCTGCGGACAGTATCCTGTTTCGTCCTTTGTGGACTCATCAGTGCTGCACAGAGAAAATGAGGCCGATCCTGATGGCAAACGAAAAAATAGATTTTGCAAAGCCATATTTAAATTAGAACAGGCCTTATTATTGTTATGTATGATCCTGCCTCTGATCTGTGTTACCAGTACCTAATGCTAAGAGGACGTGTGTGCGACCAGCTAATCCAGCCAACGGATCCTACGGCACAGGCACCTTCACAGCCACACAAACGCTGACGTTAACTTGTGCCAGTGGCTACCAACTATTCAATTCTGCTACTGCGACTTGCGAAGCAGATGGCCAAGTGACCGGTGCAAATGGCACTTGTGCCCGTAAGTTTCCATCTTTTTTTTTTCATCTTTGTTCCATTTCACACTGTAGTTCATTGATAGTTGCGGTGAGCTTTTTTTTTCTTTTCTTTTTTTTTCTCTATTTGAATTCGCTAAAACCAAAACGGACTGAACTGTCCAGTGACAAGGGAGCGAATGATGAGCGTCATAATCACTATGCAGCAAAACATGTCGGGGAAAATGAGACAGACTAGAAGGAGGGTTTGCACAACACTAGTACATAGAGGGGAGTACGAGAGCTTCACGATCATGTCTTTAGAAACTTGCCATCCTAGTGAGGTCCAGATAAAATAATTCGTGTGTGTGTTTGTTTGTTTGTGCATACCTGTTTTGTGTGTGTGTGTGTGTGTGTGTGTCTGTGTGTGTCTGTGTGTGTGTTTGTGTGTGTGTCAGAGAGAGAGAGACAGAGAGAGAGAGACAGACAGGCAGACAGACAGACACGCACACAGACAGACAGACAGACAGAGTATGTAGGAGAGAGGTGCGCATAATGTACCTACATGCAATTGTACTCCTTTACAACATGCACGCCGTGTGCCAAAGTTGGCGCATTACTCGAAAGTTGGCACAGTTTTGATTACTGAAAGTGTTGACGGCGATGATCCTGTCTCTGATCTGTCTCCATTACTAGGGAGCTGTACAAGGCCATCTAATCCCTCCAACGGAGCCTACAGAACAGGTGACTTCAACTCCGTACAGAACACGCTGAGGTTAACTTGTAACAGTGGCTACCAGCTATACAACTCTTCTACGGCGACTTGCGACTCAGATGGCCAAGTGAGCGGTGCAAATGGCACCTGTCATGGTAAGTTTCTGCCGTCTTCGTTCGATTCCACCATGTAGTTTGTTGGCAGTTGTGATGAGCCTTATGACCATATACATTGATTGTATGATGTCACTGCCTCTACAGCCCCCTTCCTACAACGACCACACACTCTGCACACCTCCTCCTGCCTAAAATAACACTGCTAGCCCTGAAACCTACGCAGCCCCCACATTCACACACAGCTTTCCACACCGCGCACAATACCCATCAATACCTCTCCTGGCATGTATACCGGCAGTTGTAATTTTTGTACTTCTCCAAGATGTGATTTTTGGCCTAGGCCGAGCACAAGGAGAAGCCTTCTGCCGAAAAAATTGAAGAAAATGCTTGTTGTTTGGTCCTTTGATGTAATCTTTGTAGCTAGTCAAAGTCAGTTGCCGTTTGGAGCAGAATCACTGAAATCGACTATTTAATGCAAGACTGTACTGATGTACTCAGGCATGCAGGTTTTCTCATATTTTTTTACCTGTTTGGCCGGAATGGATGCTGCTCTGCGGTCCTTGGTGAACATTACCTCACTCGTGGAGCAGATGAAAAGGACCACTAGTTTGTCTTGTTCCCATTTTGAAAGTGAAGAGACGACTTCCGTGCATTGAAAAAGGAGTAGAGAGCGACAAAGGCACGTCTGCAGCTGATTTTTGAGTGCTCCTCATACATTTTTATGGTAATAGAAAATTCGCAGCCCAAAGTCAGCTCGGCTGTGGGCGTACAGTTTTCTAGAGGAGTTTTTAGTTGTTTCGTCTCGCACCTATGTCAGGATCGTGATGGTGAAGTGGAGAGGATGATTATCGTCCTCTAAGCTTCGTTCGATCGGCTTTGCTTCGTCCTCGTTGAAAGGTGATGCTGAAAAAAGATCGATTCGCAAAATATGTTGATTTTCAATATCTCTTATTGGCGATGGTGCCATCGTGAGAATAAAGAATTCAGATATGCGATTGCTGGCTATGCCCACGATTTGGCTCTACACTACAGTCCATTTCAAAACTATAGACGTGTACCTAGGCAAAAACCGTTATGCCAGCATCTATACCACATAAAATCTGTGATCACTTTGTGTGAAATTATCGACCACAACTAAAACTACGCGGTCTTCAGACCCCTGTTGTGGCGCGATTTCCTGGCCTTTTCGTGGAGACAACTAGAAGACTGTATTTACTTATTGGTTTCAACCATACTCTCAAATCAACCAGAAAACAACAACAACAACACGTCAGGCGAAATTACTGGTCAGTCGGCGTCACGCATTTTTCACAAAAATTTGCGTTTCACCTGCGGGGAGAGTATGCGTGTACTCGAGTCTCATCCTGAGCACGTTTTTTTGAAACGAGTACTCTATAAGCTATCGAGCGAGTACTGTCACTATCGAGTCGAGTATCGAGTACTCTATAAGCACACATGCGCATATATGTCAATACCACATACCCAATTTTTTGCACACCATTTACACAATTCAATATCCTTCAATAAACACACATTTTCATTGCAAAGCCACATGGACGACGGACGTGTACGTCACTATCAAGTTTTTTTAGTTTTTTATTTTATTTATTTATTTATCGAGTATCGAGTCCTTTTTTGATATCGAGTCGAGTACTCAACGAGCGGGTACTCGAGTACTCGGCGTACTCGTTTCAGCACTAGTTTTTCAGCTCCAGCTGTATTTTTCATTGCAAAGCCGTCCTCGATTGTTGTGTTCGTTGTTCAAACGAACTGGACATTCAATCATGAAGGCAGAGGACATAGGAGCCTGATTCGAGTTTCTCGTGCCATAGGACGGCCACACACAGACACTTTGGGATTTTCTGAATATAAAATACCGTACGCACGATGCTCAGATCAATTTGTGCGATATCAAATTGTTTGTGATCTACCACATCGAGCAGAACGGGATCCAAACACAAGCTTACCGACGGTTAGGCTGCCGACCTGACTGGAAAAATGATCCCTGGCTTCACCAGACGCCAGAAGTCGGACACCATGTCCCTTGCCGCGACGTCCATCTCCAAAAAGAACTCCATCTTCGTCGTGAAAAGGCTTGAAATACTCAATATTCAACCGAGATTCGCGGTCTCACCCTTTCTCAGATCGAATCATTTTTTGTTGTAGCAGTTGCAGGGCAGTTCCCCGCCACTACTTCAACAGAAGATGGCTCCAAACCATGCCTGGAACAAGCCATATCGAGGTTGCAAGCCACCCATCTCAGCACTTTTTTTGAAGAAATTCAAAATTTCAATGGTGGAAGATATACTATGGAGAGAATTTCAAAAAGTATGTTTCGCGGAGCGATCGCTCAACCTACGTCATTCAAACTTTGCAGGATGGTTCAGACATACATGCTAGGCATGGAACCACAGAAGATGATATCATAGCTGACACACAGAGTCACACACACAGCAGATTCGTGTGCACAGATACTAAATTAGTGGACGTCGTCATCTTCTTCCCGCTGATCTCAAATGTACTATGACGTGCTATTTCGCCTGACGACGATCGCCAAATCGCTGTCATCAGCAAAACGTGCCCGCGTGCGTGCATTGGCTTACGTGTACTTCAGTGTGCGTGCATGCATATCGAAGTGTACGAGTAGAAAAGCAGAATGATCATGCATGATGCATCGATGAGTCATACCACAACGTAACCATGGATATAAATAATGGCGACGCGATGGCGACAGCAAAGACAGTTCCGCGTACAAAAGCGCAGGTGCAACAAGGACAAATCAGAGTGCAGAACAAACAGAAATTCAAATCGAAAGGAGATAAATATTGTGGAGATGAAGCAAATCAGTTTGGTCTGTCAGAGGGTGCTTGCGCCCAGAGACAGGGTGACAGCAAACCCTGTCAGAGAGAGTCAGTGTACAGAATAGGATTACATAGAACGCAGCACGCAGTGGAGTTGCTGTGGAGAGCGAGAATGCAAGCAACAACGTAAGTATTATCTATGCAACTGATTATATCGGCGTATCCGACAAACACTTACAACAAACACTGTATCGTAACATCACACTCGTAAATCTCGCACACTCCCTCCTTGACAACATGACAACTGACACTCATAAATCTCGCACACTCCCTCCTTGACTATCCAATAGTCAACTACATTACAACACTAGAATAGAAAGATGCGACTGCTGGTGCACTGCCATACTCACAACCTGTTGGCACTGATTAGCTGCTGTACTGCTCGAGATGATTTTCAGTGTGGCGTTGAGGAGGAACGGACTCGACGTGAGCCCGAACATCACGCGGGCGAACCGGTACACCTGCACATGCCGCTCATTCCAGAACGGCCGATCCCACCACAGGAACCGCAGTGCATTCCGGTCGTGTTCGCATACGTTGAGCATGAGGAACGCCTTCTCAATGTCCCCAGTCAGGGCAACTGGATAGCACCGAAAGCGGAGGAGGATGTCTGGGATGTGCTCCAGCAAGTTCGGCCCGGAGTGGAGGCAGCTGTTGATGGAAGGATTCTTCCCTGCGTGTGCTGAGGCATCGTACACCACCCGCACCTTGGTGGTAGCCTTGTCCTTGCGGACTACTGCTTGCACTGGGTTCCCATCCACGGGCTGGGTACCGCGAGACTCCAGGTCCCCGAACCGCTTTAGCTGCTGCTCTAGGTGCTCAGCTGTGACCGCGAACACGTGCGTTGCTGCTGAATCTGGTGCTGATGGCTTGGGACACCCGGACAAAACCCAACCAAGCTTTGTCGCTATGGCAACCAGGTTATCACTGCCACGGATGATGTTGCCCTCTGTGAATTCCCAGTAGTGGTCTGCACCAATCAGGATGTCCACATTGGCCGCGCCAGTGCAATCTTCAGCCAGTTGCAATGTCGAAAACGGTGCGAGCGACTCCGCTACCTCGGTCGGAAACTGCTGGCTGATCGGCGCGCTGATCAAGGGAACGGCTACTGCTGCCACTGACACTGGGCTCCCCTCCAGTGTTGCGATGCTCAGTCGCACGACGTCGACTTCCTTTGGCGACCCGTACTGTGTGTCAAAACCACGTATGGCCAACTGCTCCGTGTGGTCCGTCGGCAGGTCCAACTGTTGACGCAGGCTGTTTGTTACATATGACCGCTGGCTGCCCAAATCCAACAAGATGCGGGCTTTGAGCTGACGGTTCGGTTCTTCCTGTGAGGCCACCGTTGCCTTGGCCGTCTGGAGTAGCGGTGCCGATGCCTGCGACATGGCGGAGCACGTTCCGGAGAATGTCTGCTGCCCGTCTGCGCAAATGGTGGTGTGATGCCGTCTATCACATTTGCCACACCGTGTCTTGGACATACACTTGGCTGCTATATGCCCTTTCCTTGTGCACACAAAACAGCGGCGCTGCTGGATCAACAAATCTTTCCGCTTGGCCACACTGGTTACAACGGAACATGACGCGGTAGCGTGGTCTCGCCCACAGTAGATGCACGCCATATTGTGCACCGTGGTGTTGAGTGATGCCGCTGTTGCCATGGCGCCCCGGCGTGGCTCTCTGGTGCCACTTTGGACGCTGGACACATAGGAACAGCGTTCCCTGGTTCGTATTTCTTCCCGCAACTGCCGCAGCACTTCTTGCAACGCGAAGGACGCATCGCCTACACCTTTGCACACATCCAGGCGCACCGCCTTTGGCAACTTCTGCAGAAGAATTGGGGCGAACATATCTCCATAGTGCTCGGTCTTCCGGCCCATATTCTCCAGTGACCGCACGTGGTTCACTACTGTAAATATAGAGATAACACAGTGGTAAATCGACTGCTTGTATTGTTACAATAGTTCTGACGATATTAGTTATTTGATTGTATTCTTACTTTGTAGCTGCGTCCAGGCTCGTTGGAATTCTCATCACGGACTCCATTCTAGTTTCGAAGAGATATTATATTCTTGTCCAATTGTTCTCAAGAAATTCCTCGTCTTGTGCATTTGTTATCAAACAAATTCTTCGTAGTATTTGCAGTACGTAGTCTCGCGCTCTTTGATTTGTTTGACTCGCGCGTGACTTTCCTTTCTTTTCTTTTTGTCATGTATGACGTATCGGTATGACGTGAGTGTGTACGCACTCTGTTTATGACCACGTGACTGCATGCTCACGTGGAACTACAGTCAGTAGGCTAGTGCATTTTAGCGACTGCAGCGATCCGATCTTCTTGCTGCAGCGCTGTTTCTTCTTCTTCACTTGTGTCTTTTCTTTGGTCGCTGCACTAGTTTGTGATTACCATGATTACGCGTCAATGGACGACATGGTCGCCATTTTGTGCATGTCCTTTTTCTTGATGAATCTTGGATCTCGTGGAAAAAGAACGGTGTTCTTTTCTCCCAACTTTACCACTATTTCAATATTTCAACTCTCTTGATTCCTTGTTGATAGTTGTGGCTCAGTGCATGTGCGAGTGTGCTGGAGTGCTAGCTGGAAGAGATAGAGAGCATAGTGGTGGAGTAACACTACACTGTCCAGCAATTTGCGGAGGCCCGACAGATCATGCTCATTGCTGATACCTGGCAGGTTCAGCACGGCATCCATGTGTGCACTGATTATACGCTGCGGATCTCCGTACCGCTGCTCTAGACACTTGACTTCCGCTGCGTAATTCGCCTCTGTGAGGCTCAAACCACTGATCACTGCTGCTGCTGCTCCGTAAACACTGCTACGTAGGTATGTGAACTTATCCGTGTCTGTCAAGCCGCTATTGGAGTGGATCAGCGACTTGAACACATCAAAGAAATGCTGCCACTCCATAGCGTTGCCACCAAACTTGCCGAGCTCTAGTTTCGGCAGCTTCACTCTGGCAGAGCTGCCACTGGCAGACACTGACGATAGCGTACTCAACTGTGAGCTGGACGCTGACGACGCCACAACACTCTCTTCCGTAAGGGCAGCAAGCTTCTCAGTACTAGTATTATCACTCACGGCATCCTCAGTGATCGGGTTGACTGCTTTGCCCGAGTCTGCAGTACTCTCTGAACTCTCTCCCAGCGTTCTCAGTGTACTGGCGTGTCGGTCATCACGGGTACGTGCTTTTTCCTCTGCTGGGAAATCCAGAATCCGGTCCAGTGTGCTGCAGAACGTCTGCAGCTTCAGTGTCCAGTCATCCGCCTCCATGACTTCCTCCTCAACGTCTCCATCACTGACGTCACACACTAAATCCAAGACCTCTGCGTCCAGAGCGGCCAGCAGCTCCCTCTTGCACGCCAACAAATTGCGTGCATGACGCACAGACGCACGGACATCGTCGGCCAATACATTCAGATATCGAGCTTCGTCCACAACGTGCTGGAACTCGCCCATGCATCTCGTGCACGATCCCCGATGGCCCCCACGCACCCTGCGCTTCTTGCGCAAAACAAGCTGATCCTGCGTCTTTGCCGATGCTTCTACTGCTGGTTGTTTTGTCCCAGAGCTAGTGTTCTCACTCGTCTCTCTGGACTCCTCCTTCTCCTCCATGACTGACCAAATTTCTCAATTTTTAAAACACTAATCGACTCTCGATCTCAAGCTCCATGATCCGGCTCGAAGGACCATGTGAAATTATCGACCACAACTAAAACTACGCGGTCTTCAGACCCCTGTTGTGGCGCGATTTCCTGGCCTTTTCGTGGAGACAACTAGAAGCTGTATTTACTTATTGGTTTCAACCATACTCTCAAATCAACCAGAAAAAAACAACAACAACAACAACAACAACAACGATCGCCAAATCGCTGTCATCAGCAAAACGTGCCCGCGTGCATGCATTGGCTTACGTGTACTTCAGTGTGCGTGCATGCATATCGAAGTGTACGAGTAGAAAAGCAGAATGATCATGCATGATGCATCGATGAGTCATACCACAACGTAACCATGGATATAAATAATGGCGACGCGATGGCGACAGCAAAGACAGTTCCGCGTACAAAAGCGCAGGTGCAACAAGGAAAAATCAGAGTGCAGAACAAACAGAAATTCAAATCGAAAGGAGGTAAATATTGTGGAGATGAAGCAAATCAGTTTGGTCTGTCAGAGGGTGCTTGCGCCCAGAGACAGGGTGACAGCAAACCCTGTCAGAGAGAGTCAGTGTACAGAATAGGAATACATAGAACGCAGCACGCAGTGGAGTTGCTGTGGAGAGCGAGAATGCAAGCAACAACGTAAGTATTATCTATGCAACTGATTATATCGGCGTATCCGACAAACACTCACAACAAACACTGTATCGTAACATCACACTCGTAAATCTCGCACACTCCCTCCTTGACAACATGACAACTGACACTCATAAATCTCGCACACTTTGTCCATAAATTTTTCCAAATTGGGCGTCTGTTATCCAATCCTTTAGAAACTATATGAGAGTAATTGTGGAGCGATCCTGAGCAATATTTCGAAAACTATTCTCAAAAAGTTCCAGCCAAATTTGAAATATTTCAAAAACCCTACGCGTCTATAGTTTTGAAATGCACTGTAGTTGGAAACTTATCAATGAAGAGTGATCTTCAATGTCAACTGTGGTGGTTGCTTCTGCTTTCTTGTCTTCGTTGCCGGTACATATCACGGATTAGCGGAAAGTCTAACCATGTGTGTGTGTGTGTGTGTGTGTGTGTGTGTGCGTGCGAGCGCGTGTGTGCATGTGTGTGGGTGTGTGTGTGCATGCGTGTGTGCTTGCGTGTGTGTGGGTGGGTGTAGCAACATGCGGACATGACGGCATTTGCACGAGATACGAGGCGTGCATTAACGGGAAGTGCGTAGGTGAGTTCTTTCGTCTACACACCATTCCATTGTCGGTTTCACAACGTTCTCTTTGAATGACCATACCATGCAGATCTAATATCATACTCTTCACCTGACTATTGCTGTAGACCTTGCGTATAGCCTGTTTCAAGGGGCCATAAGATCTGTCCAACAACGCACTGTAGATCGTAGGTCAAATGACTGGTCATGTGCAGGGAGCTCAAAAATAGTACTTATAGTCAGAGCATACTAGTATCTGGGGAGTATAGGGTGTCCGGGGGAATGTCCGGGGAGAAGAGTGCCGGGGGGGGGGGGGGGGGGGGAGCAGAGAGTAGAGTATCCATGTTTGGCCTCGGAGATGGTCTTGAAAAGTGTAGACATCCAATAGATACGGCTGCACGTTGTGCCACGCTCGAGAAAAGACAAGTTTTAGGCTTTCGACAATCAGCAGCTTCAACGCCTTTTCCATCCATCAGTACTTTCATTGCCTTCTTGTCCGGTGAAATACAGGCAAAAGAATTGTATTTACCGCCATATTGTCAGGTGTGTCTTTACCACCATATTAAACCAAAAGGTGTCCGACACACGGCGACCAAAATCGACAACCAATGGACAAAACTAGCGGTTTGTTGACGACCCACCGAAGCGTGCTTCTGAGATAGTGTGATATCAATTTCAGTTTTGTTTGCAACGGCCATGCTTCCCAGCATGAATATAGACAGCTTCTAAAGCATTCAACAATCTAGCACTTTGTGGCAAGATCAAAAGGCAACTATCTGAATGAATATCACGCGACTCGGAATGCTCAGACTTGTCGTTGCAATACTTCACGCGTGCTTGTTTGGTTCCTTCACACGCGCACCTCTTTGTCTTTCCCTCTATGCGTATGACGCAGGTGACATGTTCCGCCGCGTCGTTGTCATTTCTGGCTACTCGTCTTTGCGTTGTGGCTAGCACAGCACTACCGCATAAAACTTCACTTATCACTCCCCCCTCACGTGACCGCGGACTCCTGCGTCTACACTCACACAATGACCACACAACTGTTTGGGGATAGCGCGCTGCTTGAATTATGCCAAACTTGACACGCTGAGTCCAGCTTGACTCAGCTGAGTCCCTAACTGCTATTTACTGCTCTAACATGAAGCCATGCCTGGAAGAAGGGAAAGAGCGAAAAAGAAAAAAAACTCTGGCCTTCTGCAAGCAATAGCAAGTAATGAGTGTCGGCTGTGTAAAGTCGCACAACCATGAAGTCGACCGGATGATGGTGAGTGTCCGGCACACATCTTGCTCTGCTGCTCCACCTGCGCATACCTGATACGCGTATACGGTGGTGCGCTTACGGGCGTGCTGCCTGGGCCCCAGATGCAAGATGCCTCCCTAATGCGAACTGTGCACTCGAAGCACCTGTACTAGCTGTATCACTTCGGTGATCCAAATGCGAATGCAGCCTTGCCGGTCGCCCGCTGATATGTCTACAGATAGCAAGAAGACATTTATTATAAAACAAATCTGAAGAGAAGGAAAACACAACTGAAGAGGCAAAACACATGAAGCACGGAAGTATCTCCCAAGCCAAGCAAGCATGCCGTTATGGTGCGAGGTCATACAACTGTGGTACAAATCTAGTACGGGAGTACATGAACTACAGGTCAAATATGGCATGGGGGAATCCATATACATCACGCCCCTTCGAGATAATGCTGAGAAAACAAATCCAGTATTATCTATCAAATCCAAACAAAACAAGAAAAGAATAAGTATGGCAAGCAACGGCCTATAGCACACGGCGGAACAGACATAGCATGCCACACAAGGATACGGAAAGATACGATATAAGAACAATCCTCAAGAACATGTACACGATGTGTCCAGAACAAATCAAGATGCATAAGACTGTCCACGGGTGGAGGAAATGTTCAAACGAGAGGGTGGTTGGTGTGCTCGTGTGCTGCGACGCAGAGGAGGAGGCGTAGCAGGAGCAACGGCAACAGACGGCTGTGGTGAAACGCATGGTGCTGGTGACGGCACGGGTGGAGAGAACGGACGAAGAAAACGGCGATTTCTCCAATAAACTCGACCACTAGCCAACTTGACGAAATAGTCACGGTGCTGCCCAATGGCCACAATCACGCCACGGGTTGTCCAACGCTTCGTCTTCGGATCCTGGACGTCCACAGGAGTGCCGATACGGAGAACGGGAAGAGAGCAGTGGGTGGGAGTACTGGCTGAAACAGGTGTCGAGGGTGGTGACTGTTCTTCACGCTCACTAGCGACGGTCGACCACGAGGAATCAAACTGCGTCCACTCAGCAATGACGAAAGACCGAAGTGGATGCCCGAGAAGATGCTCAGCTGGGCTCTTGCCAGACGGACCGGGCGTATTCCGCCACTCCAGTAGACCACGACGAAATGCATCTGTGTCGAGATTGCCATTTGACGAGGTCTTGAGTAGCAAGCGCTTCATAGCTTTCACTGCGGCTTCCGCATGTCCATTACTCTGGGGATAATGCGGGGAAGAGGATACGCGTTGCACTTGCCAACGGCTACAGAAGTCAGCAAACTTCTTCGATGCAAACTGGGGGCCACCGTCGGTGCACAGTACAGCAGGCACACCCAGATCGGCAAACCAACGACGACAAGCGAGAATGACATCGTGTGATGACGTGGTCCTGCCGGTTCGAACAACGCACGGCCAACCAGTCAGACGGTCGACATAAACAAGAAACTCATAGCCTTGGCAAGAGAACAGATCAGCGGACACAAACTCGAACGGCAGAGTAGGATGACGGTCATTCATCGGTGGTTCGGCTGACTGCGACGACTGGAATTCTCGACACGCGGAACAGGCACGGACAAGGGTGTCTATGTCGGCGGTGAGACCAGGCCAGTACACGAGCTGTCGGGCGCGAGCCTTGGTACGGACGAGACCTTGATGTGAGGCATGAAGATTAGCGAGAACACGTTGACGCATGGCCAAGGGAACAAGAATGCGTTGGCCTTTCATGACAATGCCCTGGTCCACTGACAGGTGTTCACGTCCATTCCAGAAGGGTTGTAGTGGAGCATCTAAATCACGCTGACGAGCGGGAAAACCATGGAGAACGCACTGGACAAGAGACTGATAGACTGGATCAGCTGAGGCGGCTGCTCGAAGTTCAGCAAACTTCAGGTTGGGGTGAGGACCATCATCACGGAGCATGCACACACGGATGCTGCGGCAATGAAGAGCAGGGGCTTCGCCGAGTTCATCATCTGAAGACGGGATGCCAACGGGATTGCGAGACAACGCATCAGCAAACGCGTGATCAGAGCCTTTTCGCCAGGAAGCGTGCACTTGAAACGACTGCAGCTTCAGGCGAAGACGGAGAAGGTGAAGATTCTCGATCTGATCTAGAGAATACGCGTTGATAATCGGGATCAACGGACGGTGATCAGTGATCAGATCAAATAGGGTGCCGGATAAGTACAACTTGCACTTGTGCACAGCCCAAACGACGGCGAGCATCTCGAGCTCAACAACAGCATAGCGAGATTCGGCGTCAGAGAGGTAGCGGTAGCCACACTGGATGATTCGCCACTTATCATCCTGCTTCTGCCACAGAACGAAGCCGAGACCACGTAGTGCAGAGGCATCAGTCTCCAGACGGAGGTCGTGTCCATGCTGGTAGAAGGCCAGGATAGGAGGAGACAGCAGAGTAGACTTGGTCTTCTCGAACGCAACAGTGTGGTTGGCATCCCAAACAAATTCACGGGTCGTCTTTAACAGACCACGAAGCGGAGTAGTGCAGGCGGCGAGGTGTGGTGAGAACTCGCTACACTGGTTCACCAGGCCAAGAAACGAACGCAAATCAGTGCGGTTCGCAGGAATGTCAAAATCGCGAATAGCCGCTGCCTTGTCATCGTCAACAACCCAGCCGTCTGGACTGACAATGTAGCCGCAGAAATGGATGTGACGTGCCGCAAAGGTGAATTTAGACGGGCTCAGAGTAATGCCATGCTGTCGAGCACACAGCAGGATGTCACGGACATGGGTGACATGGGAGGCAAAGTCGTCATCATAGGCCAGGCAATCATCTACAACCTTGGCGAAATTCGGGATTGCATCAAACGCAGCATCAGTGCGGCAGTTGAAAACATCCTCGGCGGAAATCAGGCCTTGAGGGTTGCGTAGGAAGCGATACCTGCCGTATGGGGTGATGAATGTGGTCATTGGACATGCCTGCTCACTCAGTGGGATTTGCCAGTATCCGTGCCTTGCGTCAAGCTTGGTGAGGAATTGTGCCGATCCAATACCAGAAACCACATCGCGAGCGGTGCGAACAGGGTGGGCTGGTCTCAGTACTTGGTCATTCAGTCGTTTGAAATCGACGGTGAGGCGTTTCTCGGAGGTACCTTTCTTGTCGACGAGCACAATTGGGTGACACCATTCACTAGGCTCACTGACAGGCTCGATTATGCCATCGACAACCATTGTGTCCAGTTGTGACTTGACCTGGTCACGAAACGCGTACGGAATCGGGCGTCCGGTATGGACACATGACGGCTTAGCATCTGGCTGAAGTTGGATGTCCATCGGAGGACCTGCCATCGCCTTCAAGCCAGTGTCGGAAAACACGTCTGAGAACTCCTGCAGTAGCTCATCGCGAACACGAGCGATATCAGCAGAGCTAGGATTGACAACAGGCTTTGATACAGCACGGATCTTAGGTGGCGCGAGAGCATTAGCAGCAGGGTACTGTGCAGGCCAATCTGACGGGAGGAGCTGGAGTGCACTCAAGGACGAACGTGATAGAAGAGCATCGTCCAGACCCTTGTACACGTGGATTACGGTGCTGTGTTGTCCTTCGCCAACCTGAAGTGAAGCACGAATACTGCCGACGTTCTGCAACTGCTCTCCAGATGCCGCTAGGACGCACTCTGGGTCATGGTCGAGGTTCTCGGGGAACCCGCCAAGCAGTTCGAGATGATGCTCGCCAATGGCATCGACGTCACTGCCAGTATCAGGGACCCAGGGTA